ACGTGCCAAGTAGGGTAGGCTGGCTGGCTAGTGAGTCCCAGGGATCTGACTGCCTCTACCTTCCCAGTGCTGTTGTTACAAGCATCTGCCACCATTCCTTCAAAAAATTGTACTAAAATCATTTAAATAAAGTTTAACTATCCTTTGTTGTGTCACTTGTAACATATTTGCAAGAGACTCCAGGTGTGAGCTCACACACATGACTTCACGATGAGCTTCTCAACACTGGGGAACTGGGAGAATAGGCAGAATGTAGAGGCCAGCTTGAACTACATGGCAGGAACATTATCTCAAAATAGCTATACATTTGTACATATTGCAAATATTTAACCTGAAATTAAACCAGTGGAAAAAATTCCCTGTATTTCAAACTCTGGTATACAAATAGTCGGTCACCAGTTATAGTCACAACACTCTAGAGACAAAAGCGAGCAGTTCCCTGCACATTCCTGATCAGTCTGAGCTAAATGGAGGGTAGAGCCAATCTCAGAAAAGAGGACTTATTGGGTGTGGTGGCAAGTGCCTTTAATCGAAATGCTATGACAGGATGGCATACGTGTGGGCTTTCTCAGGACAGTACCTCTTATAATAAAGCAATGTGCACAAAGGCTAAACTAAGCTGGCACGTGGACGAACTATTGAACTCAAGTTTGGAGTGGAAAACCCTTCCTATGGAGGAAACAGGCCAAGAATGGGGATTGCTCTGGACAATGGAGACGGCAGGGAAAAACTATGCTGTGTGTCCTAAAAACCCTCAAAGGCATAGGATTTTTTCAATGAACTTCAAATGACCGACTGAGCACACATAGCCAGGTATAGGGATACAGGCAGGCTAGTTCAAAGGAGGTGATGCCCCCAGCAGCTGGACTCTGCCACATGGGGCACCCAAGCCAAGTCACCTTGAGTGTGGCCTTTCTGTAGTTGATAGGTGGCTTCTGGGAGCAGAAGGAGTGAATAGGGCCAGGATGGATTCCACTTATCAGACACCACCCTGGTCTCCTTCCAGATTCTCTCTAGACAAATGAGCTGCCGGGTGGCTCTCCTGCCTGACAGATGGCAATGGTGACGCTGGGCTGTGGAGTGGGGACAAGAACCCTCGGAGGAGTTCCCTGGGACAGCATGCCTGGCTACAGGGGGAGGGCTTGTAGCTCCTTAGCTCTTTCTGCTTAGGCTGGAGCTTTGTTTTCTGGGTCTGAAGCAAGCATTCAGGGTCACTCATGTCACCTCGGAGAAGGTGTGGTTGAAGTGGGCCTTGTCCTGGGGCCTCCTGCTCTCTGTGCCCACAGAGAAAGGCCTGGAACTCACAGCTTCTCTCTGGACCAGCCTTGGTGATAGAAGAGGGGGAGGGATGTTGCCTGAGGCCAATATCTTGGCAATGAGCTGCCACATAGTGCTCTGGGAAGGAAGTTTTGTGGGGATGGAACCCTGGCAGGCTCCTGAGGTCAGGGCACTGGCTACGACTCCTCTGACCTGGGCTTGCACCAGGAAGACAGATGGAGCGGTGGGTCAGGCAGTCGGGTCCCTCGGTGCTATTCCGCCATTCCGTACTCCTTCACCTGTCGCTGTCAGCAGAGCATCCAGCTGCTGCCGTGTGCCAAACCTTTCGGTGCCCTTGGAATGAGAAAGACAACTCTCCTGCAGTCGGGCTTGGGGAGAGTGACCGAGACAGGCTGGAAGGTGTCGGGAGCAGAGGAGTGGGCAGAAGAGGCAGCAGGTGGCAGGGGTGGGGGAACCGAGCTGGCAGAAAGGGCCAAATCCAGTTTGGGGTCCCAATCCTGAGCACTCAGTGGCAATGCCCAGTTTGGACAGCAGAGGGCAGCAAGAGTCCTGCAGCCTGGGAACTGGCCTTCAAATGCTGGCCTGAGCTGGGGATGTAAGGGTGGAGATTTATGGTATAAAGTGAGACAGGGGCCCTAAAGAGGACAGACAAGTGTGCAGATGGCTCTTCCCGTCTGTCTTTGGTAAGCTTGGCCGACCAGGACTCCTGCCATCCAACGCTCACTTATATGGTGGCTGACACCTGGGGCATCTTTTCCCTCTGTCCCAGCCTCGAGAAGGGTTGACTCTCCCTTGTGGAAGGGGGATGGTGGCTTCTCCCATCAGGAATCCAGGGGCAGTTTTATTTTATTTTGTGTGTATGGGCATCTCACTTGCATGTGTATCTGTCCACCACACGCATACCCCGTATCCATGGAGGCCAGAAGAGGGCACTGGATTCCCTGGAACCAGTGTTGGAGTTGGTTGTGAGCTATCGGGTGGATCCTGGGAATCAAACCCAGGTCCTCTAAAAGAGCAACAGTGTGCTTGACTGCTGCACCATCTGTCCAGTCCTCCCTGGCATTCCTTAATGACGTTTAGGCCACCTGCTGTCCCTGGGTAACTTGACTGGAGCCCAATCCTTAGTCACCTTTCTTCCTGGGTGGCAGGAGGATGGAAAGTCAGTCCTCCATAGCCTGGAGCTCCACCTGGGGACATCATAAGACCCTGGGAGGGGACCAGGAGGACCTCCCGCCACTTGCCTAGCGCCCACTGCTGGGGTCTGGTTTGATCCTCTGCCAGCCTCAGAGCACACGTGTTTTGGAGAGCCAGGAAGCCAGGAAGCGAGGTCTGAAGAGACTTGGGAGACCTGGGGCTGGGAATTGCTCCAACCAGCGGCTTTCTACCCTCAAAGGGCAACTGTCACGGGCTGGGCCTAGATTTTCCATGTAGTGGTTGAGACAGTGAAGGTGACAGTGACTGCCTGTCTCCTCAGATACAGGCCATGTGTCTACTGACACGCACGCACGCACACACACAACGGGGGGGGGGAGTGTGTGTCCACGTTGTGTGCGTGCGCGTGTTAGAGCTGAGCTGAGCCAGGAAGGATGAGGACAGCATTGCAGGAGAACAGGAGAAGGCGGGGAGGCTGCCCCTGGCATGCTGCAGCTCAGCCGGCACCCTTCGGCCTGCTTGGCCCTGTCCTCCTTGGGTTCTGTGTTTCCTCAACTTCCCCAGTTTTCCCTGTTACAGGCCTGGGTCACTCAACCCAGCCTCTGTTCCCCATCGACTGGAAGCAAGAGGTGACCACACGCCAGTGTGAGGACCCCATGCCACAGCCATGCTGTGGGCTGAAATGATGGGCATCTGGCTGCAGTGGGGAGAGGGTGGACCCTAGGCTGTCTTCCAGGCTAGCACTTGGACAAGGGATGCTTCAGGCTGGCCTCCCTGCGTGAGCAGAGCAATCAGCCGGGTCTTGCTCATCTCAAGGGCAAGGAGGGACCAGGTCTCTGGATGCTCTGGGCCCGGTAGGGCCGCTAGGGCTAGAGAATAGTACATTCCCGGGCCTCTTGTCAAGGACCAGACACAGTGGACCAGAAACACTTTGTTCGGTCATACTTTGTCCTCATCTCCCCACAATGTTTTCTGGAGATTTGTGATCAAGAAAGCCACCCAGGTTCTCAGGTTCCCAGGGCACAGCTGTAGGCCAAGGCTGTTATACACGATGTTCTGATTCCTTCTCACGAGGGGCAATGACGAGCCCAAGGCATAGCCTACACCTTGCTGTCCCATGCACGGCTGAGTCAGGATGGGAGCAGAGACCTCCATGTTTCCAGAAAGCTCTGGTTTGACCTGGGCAGACAGCTAGCGGCAGGGACCGGCTCTGTGGACACAGGGCGGCCCCCAGAGGGTGGGGATTGAGTTGTGAGGCTGTGGGTGTGGAGTGACCCGGGTGGGCCGTGGTTGGAGGAGGCTGCGGGAAGCTCAAGTAGTGGGAGCCAGCAGCGGGGCTGAGTTGGCAACTGATGAAGCCCAGAACAGCCTCAGAGCATAACTGGTTGGTCCTGCACCAAAACCTTCAAGAGTATTTGTCTTCCTGGCAGGGCCCAGGGCAGGGCTGTGGCTGGTTGGGGGAGAGGCCTCGGTGCGCAGGGGAATAGAAGCCCCAGATCTGCATCCAGAGGCGATTTTCCCAGGCCCCTTCCTCCCACACAGCGGCTCACTCCCTTGGAGCTGGATCAGGTCCTTCCAGCCAAGTCCTTCTGGCTGCACAGCTCAGCCTGGTCTGAGCTGCTGTCTGGAGTAGCACAGGGCAGACTTAGCAGCTGATGTCCCCTCCCACCAAGCACGGCTCCGCCTACCGGTAGTTAGGAGGACCACTGAGGTGGGAGGCCCGATTTCAGCTTGAGCCCCTGGTTGTCTGGTCCATCTCGGAACAGAGCTCAGGGTCACGGCGATTCTACTCAGTGCGAGGGGAAGGAGCCACTCTGTCTGCCTGTCCACTAAGCCCTAACTTGGCATGCACGTCTTCCGTCATCTTCCCCGTGGCATAACGAGCAACAAAACGGCTATGGGAGCCGGGATCACAGCGGCTTCCTCGGCCCAGGCCTCACCGCGCCTGTCTCCTCCCTCCAGGATCCTGGAGCATCCAGATGGAAAGGGGCAACTCGCTGGTGGTGCTGCGCAGCCTGCTCTGGCCAGGCCTCACCTTCTACCACGCCCCCCGCACCAAGAGCTATGGCTACATCTACGTGGGCACGGGCGAGAAGAACATGGACTTGCCCTTCATGCTGTAGGAGGCGCAGTCTGGGCATGCATGTGGACTCTAAACGTTATTTTCATAAAGTTCAACAATCTGGCTTGTTTGTTCTCTCATTCTTTTGTCATTTTGTCCCCCACCTATTGACGTGGCTCTGAAAGGCCGGCCCACTGAGCCAGGAATCCTAACTCTGTACTGAGGCAGCAACCAGGGATGTGTTAATGAAGGAGACCCCAGTGTGGACAGCGGGAACGGGGGCGAAGGCAGGGTCAGGGCCTGCTCAGGTGCCTGGACTCACCCAACAGCTACTGTGGGTTAGGCCCTCAGCTAGAGTGTGGTGCTGTCGGCAGAGGACAGGCACCTGTGTGGAACATGGATCCACTCCAGTCACAGAAAGGGCCCACTCAGAGGCCAGCAGCGCCATACACAAGACAGTCAGCACGGGCCCACACTTCCAAGCAGTGACCACACGGGGAAGCCGAGAGCTGCTTCATCCATTCTATGCGTAAGACTCCTGTCCTTGCCCCCATCTCAGCCCCAGACAGAAGACCACAGGCCGGGAGACCCAGCTCCTGCCTGCCCTGCCTCCCAATGCTGGCTGGGCTGATCCAGGGAACAGAAATAGTCCCAGAGTCCCCATGCAGTGTGTGGAGGGCAGGGTTTCTGGTGGGAGGGGCCAGTGCATCACGTGGAAGGTTCCAGTCAGGATCTTCAGCTGCAGGGCTTCCACTAATGAAGGAGCTTCAAAGGCCTCCTTGAGTAGTTGACATTGTCCTTCAGGAGTGGTGACCCCACGGCCATACCCACCTTATTCCAACGGGGCCCTTTTTTGTAGATGGGCTTGACAGAGCTGGGAGCCCAGCGAGTCAGGTAGCTGCAGAGGAAACACAATGAGGTTGACGTGCTGGGAAGGAGAGGAGGAGGAGGGCACTGACCCCAGGGTTAGGCTGCAGCATCTTTCACAAGTTCTCCTTCTCAAAGGGCAGCGGGTTTTCCTGGAAGACACTGCTGTTTTGTAAACAGATGGATGGGCTCTTGCTTATCCAAGTGTGTGTCCAGGGTCAGGCAGAGTCAGGCAGCCCAGGCCCAGTTCCCTTGATCTTGCTAACTTGTCAGTGTCATGTACACTCAGGGAAAAGGCCGAGCCCAGGGAAGGATAAAGGCGGAGGAAGCCTGTGCTCTGTTCGTCCCCACTTGGCTACTCTACACACCCCAGCCTCCAGGGAACTGCTCAGGGCACCACACTGGTGCAGGACCCCACCCCTCACCCAACTGATGGGAAGCAAGGGGTGAACACATTGGGTTCCTGTAAGTGGGAGCGGGCAGGGAAAGATGGGGGCCACACATGGTCCTCTGGCCTCCTTTGGGGATAGCCTGGGCCCAGATTGTTCCTGGAAAAGTGGCTCGCAGCACCAAGATTGGGGTTTACTCTGCGCATAATGAAACCTGGCTCCTGACCAGAAAACCCATCCTTCATCCACAAAGTTCAGTCACAAAGGCCAGGGCCCTCCTGTGTTCTGGGAGGTTAAGGCTTGCCCTGGCCGAATCCAGAGACCCTCAAGGAAAAGCTTCCTAATTGAAAACTAGTATTCCTGGCATAAATTTAAAAAATTTTTTGGCTGAAATCTTTGGCAGAAAAAAAGCATTGCTGACTCATGCATGTCTTTGCACCAGGCTCCTCTGGACCTTGGTCTTTGGCTGATGGCTTTATATAGAAGGAACACCCCAGGGCCCATCCTGGATTGACCCAGTGTGTGCTGGGCCCAGGAGGCAGGAAGACAAGGCCTTTCCCAATTGGCGGGCGTTCTGCCTGCACAGGGGCTGCTGTCCCCATGGTCATGGTTCTAGGACAACAGCCTATTTTAGCAGGGGCCCCCACCAGCAGCTGGCCCTTGTGCTGGCCTCTTCCAGTCCCAATAGAGAGACTGAAGAGGGGGTCTGGGAGCAGGCCCATGAAACAGGGTGTGCACCAGGACTCAAGGACTTCAGAAGACCCCAGCTGACCAGACTCTCCAGAGCTGTCCTCCTCAGCTGTCCTTCAGCGAGCCTTGGGCCTGATGCCACACAGAGCAGCCACCTGACAGTGGTTTGGGTGGCATCCACTCAGCCCTCTGTGAACACCTCAGCTCTAGTTAGAACTCAGCCTTCTCTAAATCACCCCTTTCTGTATCTTCTGAGCACGGACTGGTCTGCACCCCTGTGCACAGGAAGTGAAAAGGGGAGGCCATCCCTTCTGCCAGGAAGACACCTCTGCACCAGGGTGCTGAGGCCATGGGAGTGAGCAGGGCCTAGGCCCTTGAATGCAGACTAGGGACCTTTGGGTGAGGTCACAGCATCCCTTGAGCAGGGCTCAGTACCTCCTGAGCCAGGCTTCCCCTCCCCCAGGATGGCCTTTGCAACTCAAGAGCCCCACACATCATCAATCCCGTGTCTCACTTAAGGACACCGGACGTGAGGGAGGGAGCCTGGCCTAGCTTCAAAGGCCTGAGGGCAGGATGGATTGTGTCCTCAGGCTTGCTGCTGTCTCTTAAAAGCCAGATGGGGGTGGGCTCAAGCCCCAAATGGACCAGAGCATGCACTGCTCCTTGGGGCTGCTGGCAGAGAGCCCAGCCCAGCACCGCTCAGCATCTAGGAACAGGGGAGGCAAGGGAAAAAGAAGCAAGCCTGTGTTAGCCCAGCTCACACCCTCTGCTCAGCAACCTGGCCTCCCAGCATCCACCTGGCCTCTGGTAGGGATCTCTGCAAGGTTTGTGGGGGCTTGCTAAGCCTCAGTCACCCTGCAGAGTATCTGGTTCTCACTATCAGCAGAGGCGGCTTGATACACTGGGAGGAGGAGCCGGTGGAGGCGAAACTACAAAATCAATTTTACAGACCCAGCTCTTCTCTCGACAAGGGATTTATAGATCCAATTGCCTGTGAGAGCGATGACATTGATGGGGAACCTGCAACAGGATAGCTGCCTAAATGTTAGGTGAGCATCTGTTCTCACTGCAGGGGGCCTAACTACCCCGTTGCTGCTGGAGGGCTGACTCCCATCTCTTCCCCCTAAGACTGCAGGATAGCACAAGATGCCAAGGAAGTTGTGTAAGCTGTTAACTGCATGCCTCCAGGGAGCACTGCTGCTGACTGAGCCTATATGCAGGTTGCCCTGATGCAATGCTGCGTACAGAGGCCTTATCCCAGACAGGCCTCCGTGGCTAAGGCCTGGCCCTGCCCTGTAATGACCGGTGTTGGAGAGAGCTGTGATACTGAAAGTTTCATAGCAATGCAGTGTGATGTCATCAACAAGGATTAACATATCTAATGCCCAACCAGCAGCCTCTAGAACAGACGAGAGGAGAGGCATGGGTGGGGGAGGAGGGGGTAGATAGCATAGCTGTGGTGGGAAAGATGGGGGTATGCACTTGGGCTGCTGTGACAGCCACGAGACAAGCTCCCCGAATGCAGTGAGACCCATGGGTCACTTGGGCTCATGTTTCCTTACCGGTTGAGCGTGGGTTTCTTCTTTGGTGATGACCCTTCTGGAAGCCGTGGCCTGTGGTCTGGGAATAGACCTGAGTGCAAGAACACATAGTCAGTCTGCACAGTTCTGAGAGGGCCAGGGGCACAGAATCGCTGTTCTGCTCACGGCTGCTCTCTCAGCTCTTCCTGCAGTCCCCACCCCTCTCTGCGGTGGGGCCTCTGACCTGCTCGGTGCGCCATCTTCACACACTCCTCGACCTTTCGGTGCTCCTCCAGGCACAAGCCTGTGACAGTCCGGGGCAGCATGCCTCCATGAGGTCGGATGAATTGCCTGAGCAGCAACACATCCTAGCGAGAACGAAACGGGAGCTGGGTCAGCTGGGTTCCTTGTGCGCTGGGAACCAGGACTGTGGGCCTCAGGCGTCCCACAGGATACCTCAGTGGGGTTCCTATTTCCCACTGCTAACAACGGGCTCCCAGCACCTCCCCAGACATCTTCTGACACATCAGGTGAGACCAGAAATGCTCTAGTGAGTGTTTTGCCACCAGTATTTCTTGGGAGTAAGATGTCTGGCAGTTTGCCAGGGAGTTGTAGTGCACACCTTGAATCCCAGCATTTGGGAGGCAGAGGCAAGCAGATCTCTGAGTTCGAGGCCAGCCTGGTCTACAGAGCGAGTGCCAGGTCAGCCAGGGATACACAGAGAAATCCTGTCTCAAAACCAAAAACACCCCAGGCAGTGGTGGCCCTCAGCTTTAGTTAATGCCAGCTTTGGGGAGGCCGAGGCAAATGGATCTTTGTGGGTTCACCTGGTATACAGAGCAAGTTGTGGAATGGCAAAGAGCTGTTATACAGAGAAATCCTGTCTCAAAACAAACAAAACCAAAATAAACCCAAACAATTAAATAAACAGATAACATGTCTTTGGTCACCGATCACTTTCCTCGGCTGGGATGGGTCATGTAAAGTATTTCCACGAGAGGCAACGCCTGTCCCATCCCAGCCCCAGACTCCAGAAGGCACAGGTAGAGCGCATACAGACAGCGCTCGCCTGCTGCTCCTGCTCAGCTGCCTGGCAGGCACCAAGCGGAGAGAAAGGGAGGCGGTCTGAAGTCCAGTCCGTCTTCCCTGATCCAGATGGGATGGGTCCTTGGGCTTCCTGGTCACACACCTAGCAAGCTGATAAGAAACCCTCTCTCCCGCCATGCTTGACTCAATGGATTAAGTAAACTCGTCCCTACTAGGGCCCAATGCCAGCCTTTGTCCCGTTACTAAATTGCTGCCTTGGCTGCCTTGCTGTGTAACTGCAAATCTGTTTTAGTCACTGGACAGCTCCCGGGGACCCTGAGGCCCAACTCTTCAGAAGCAGGTAGCAGAGTTGGACTGACGCACAGCTAACTTGCTGGCTGGCATCCTCTGCAACCTTCACTGCAGGCGCCAGGCCAGGCGACAGCAGCACAGCGTGGGTCAACAGTGCTCCAAGTAGAAAGGGAAAAAAGGAAAAACAGCTTCAGCCTTTACCTTGGAGAGGATTACATTTCTTTCCTGGAAACGGCTGGGCAGGTGTGGGCTCTGCCTCCCTATCTGCAGCTGGGATTACAAGCAGCCAGTATATTCACTGACATCCATGAGACCAGAGCTCTGAACTCAGCCTTCTGTACTGTAGGCCCTTATTTTCAGATGAAACAGGACAGGGTGAGAGTCATGCCCCGCCCCCACACTTGGGGGTGGACTGAAGCCAAGGTCCCCAGCCCAGGAGATTAGTTGGGTCACTCTGTTCAGATCTTCCTGCATTCATCATCTGACCAGGATCTCTGCCCTTAGCCATCCTGTGCCTTAGAGGGGATCTAGGACAACACACAGGTCAAACTGGCCCAGAGCTGGAATCACCTGGAACCCCCAAAAGAGTGCCCATGCCACAGTGAGAACTCTGAAGAACAAGTGTGGGTACCCAGGACTGACTAGGCCCTGTCTTCTCTGCAGGGTAGGAGTTAGCACAACATGGGCTCTGCCTGGCTTCCCAGCCTGATACTTAGTGTGGGAAGGTTATTAACTTCTTCATGTCCAGGGTTCCCTCACTGCAAAGCAAGGATGAAGTCCCCACTTCATGGAGTCAATTAGAAGCCTAAGGGCAGGAAAGATGGCTCAGTCAATACAGAAATTGCTATGCCTGACTACCTGAGATTGATCCCTAGGATTCACATGAAGGAAGGAGAAAACTGACCTCCATGAGTGTGCTGTGGTATCTGTTCCTTCACACATACACACATTCCTCAAAAGAAAAAAAAAGTGATGCCTGGCAGTGGTGGCCCACACCTTTACTCCCAGCACTTGGGAGGCAGGAGGATCTCTGAGCTCAAGGTCAACCTGGACTGCAGAGCTACTCCCAGGATAGTCAGGGCTACACAGAAAACCCTGTCTCGGAAAACGATCCAAACAAAGTAAGTTAATATGCCCGTGACTGCTCAGGTCATGGCCTATTGGAGCAGGCCCCTACTCATGCTGCCTGTGCTGGGTATGTTCATGATCACCTCCTTGCCCAGAAGGGTGGTCTGGAGCTGCACTGTGGAGACTAAGATGTGTCTGTAGGCCTCATGACCTTGGGGAGAGAGCCAGATCCTAACCTGATTTCCTTCCTGTGAGAACTACCTCGGCCCTGCTGAAGCAGTCCATGAACTCCATGTTTCCAGCTCCGCAGCCTGTGAGAGCTTTACAAATGCCCAAGTCGCTCTGAGGCTGAGTTGTAGGAGCAACAATTTACCTTTAAAACATGTACGTGTATAAGAGGTTGCCAGCATGTATACATGTACACTGCATGCTTACTCAGTATCCTTGGGGGACATGAGGGCACTGGATACTCTGGAACTGGAGTTGTGGGTGGTTTTGAGGGGCCGTTTGTGTGCTGGGAGCAGAACTAATGTCCACTGCAAGAGCAGCAAACAAATGCTCTTTACCGCAGAGCTTTCTCCCCAGCCCCGTACATCTTTACATTTCTATTTTTGAGATTGTCTCATGCATGTAGGTATTTTGGGGGCACACATGTACAAATACCATGTACATGCACTGCCTGTGGAGGCCAGAAGAGGGCGTGGATCCCCTGGGAGCTGAACCCCTGTCCTCTGGGAGAGCAGCCAGTGCTCTTAACCACTGGGCTTTCTCTCCAGCCTGCAGCCCGGGATCCTCAAAGTCTCTTAGAGTCTACCACACAGTCAGATTTCAGGTCCATTGTCTCTGGTGGCCATGTGAAACGCAGCTGTCACTACCTGAGGACAAGGCTCCAGGTAAGAGGACTCTGGCCCCAGTGGATGCAGGGTGATGGTCTTCACGGTCACACTCACCTCATAGTTATATTTGTGCTTCAGGTTCCAACGGCAGATGGGGCACTGGCCTGAGGGGTTAGGGGGGTTTGGAGTTGCCTGGGGAGTTTCTGTGATTCGGCCTTCAATCTACAAGGGAAAAAGAAAACCAGTGTGAGAGCCTGGGCCAGGCATACAGGACTTTAACTCTGAGCACACACCAAAAGAATACCAGTCAAGCTTACTTCCGGGGGTCTCATGGCAGCAGCTGACAGGTCTGCCTGCGTGGTGATTTTCTATAGCTGCTCTCTGCTGGGCCTTGGCCACAGGGACGTGGCTTGGTGGCCAGGTAAGTGATGCACACCTGTAAGCCCAGCAGTGGGTGGCAGAGGCAGGAAAAGTGGAAGTTCAAGGCTAGCCTGGGCTGCACAGTAAAGTTCTAAGTCGGCAGGGGTTACATGGTAAGACTCTTGCCTCAAAAAAACAAAGCAATGATGATATCAGACAGACATATAAAGTGGTAAGTAGAGTAATAGTTCTTAACCTTCCTAATGCTGTGACCTTTAACACAGTTCTCCATGTGGTGGTGACCCCTAGCCACAACATTATTTTTGATGTTACTTCATAACCAATCTTGCTCCTGTTATGAATTGTAATGTAAGTACCTTTGGGAGTTGTGACCCACAGTTTGAGAACTGCTGAACTAGAGGGAAGGGTTTGCCACATCAACTGAATGCTACCTTCCCTTCCTCAACAAAGCACAATAAAACACCTGAACCCTAGGGCTTCCTCCTGCACCTGGGAAAGGTGACACAGGCGCATGGCTGAAAGCTCCAATGGGCGGGAGATGCTCAGCAGCTAAGAGCACCCGCTGCTCTTGCAGAGGACTGGCCTTTGCTTTCCCAGAACCCCAGTTCCGGGGGAATCTGATGCCCTCTCCCGGCCTCCAAGGGCACCTGTATGCACATGTACACAAGCAGACAACCAGACACACACATGCAAAAAGTGCCAGATGGTAGAGATTCCCTGTTCAAAGAAAGCGCCCACCCACTCTCTACGCCATCTGCAGAGAGCACTGCTTCCCGCTTTATGGGACAGAGCCGGACCTGTGCTAGCAGGTTCCAGTAACAGGGTTTTTCCCGTCGGGCCATGTCTGAGGCCATTTCTGACTAGACATTTCTGACTGGACAGCTGGAGGAAAGGGTATGATGGGCATCTAGCAAGGATGCACAGGGGAACCCTCACAACAAAGAACGCCAGTCACTGGGAACAGCCAGACAAGTGGGTGTCTGTGCATGGTTGCTCCTCCCTTCCTCCGCAAACAAACAGAAAACATGGGCCTCCTAGAAAACAAACCAGGGTCCCACTAGGTAGGCTTAGCTGGCTTCGATCTTGTTAGACCAAGTGGGCCTCATATTTGCAGTGAATCTCTTGCCTTTGTTATGGGATTACAGCTCTCTTTACCTCTATCATCTTGGATAACACCTTTCAAACACCCTGCAGAGGCCACGTGTGGCATGACCTTCATGTCATGACTATACCCTGTGACCCAGCCTTGGAATGGCTACGTGTACTAAAGCGATGATCTGGGAGTCCGCTCCAATTGCAGGGGGAGCTTTGCAGGCCACGCTGAGGCTGAGCCTAAGAACATGGCTGGGGTGGATTTGAGAGGCACAAGAACAAAACTAATCCTGTCCCCTGGGCTGAGGAAGCCTGGAAGTTCTGCTCAGCTATGTCAGGCACCACCCTCCACCCCCACTTCTACCATGGCAACTCCAAGCACGTCAGAAGGAAGCTGTGGGCAGGGAAAATCTGCAGGTGCATGGGAGGCCTAGTGGGCCCCAGGAGAGAGCCACTGCTCATTGGCTACTGTTATTAGGCTGCTTCTGCACTAAGAATGGTTCACATGTACCAGTTCATCTAACTCCCACAACTTAGCGCTGCTGCGGTCAGATCTGATTTTGGAGACCACGCACCCACAGTCAGTCACAGCAGCACCTGACAGGGCCGCAGTGTCTCCATGTTCCTCTACAAACAGCAGACCCATGCTCACATGAAAGCCCTCTCTGCACTTCAAAGTCAGATGTGGACAGCACCATTGACTGGGAAGCCAGCCTTCGATTCTGAATGTCTACCACGTTTGCTTCTCTTAGAGATGCTGTTATTGGTGGTGAACTACTAGCTGGTTCTGAAGTCTGCCAGTCTTCAAGGGGAAGTGGACATAGTCAACAGAAGAATAAGGGACATTCTGCTAAGCCAGGAAGAAGGCGGGGCCCATTAGCACGTCAGCAGAGATGCAGTGGGTAGGGGGCACTCTCTTAGCACTGAGCACTCTGTCTGTACCCAGAAAAGCAGAAGCAAGATGCCACTTCGAAAGTCTCCTGTCAGGCTGGGTGTGGTGGCACACACCTTTATTCCTAGCACTCTGGAGGCAGACGTAGGCAGATCTCTTGAGTTTGAGGGCAGCCTCGTCTACAGAGTGAGTTCCGCACAGCCAGGGCTGCAGAGAAACACTGTCTTGAAAAACAAAAGCATCAAGTTTATAGGATGAATGCTTTTTGTCATTTGAGACAGGGTCTCATGGAGCCCAGGCTTGTGTTGAACTCACTATTGAGCTGAGGAGAGCCTGGAACTCCCAATTCTTCAAGTACTGAGATTACAGACATGCACAATCATGCCCAGACTGTCTTAGGTTTTAATGAGAGACCTAGATGCCCAAAGGGGATGCAGTCCCCTAAAAAGTAAGCCTTAGGTGGAGGCCAACCAGTAGAAAGGACAAGGAGGAATTCTAGGAGAATGACTGGATTTCTCCTGGGTAGAAGACAGCCTGGGGGAGGCCTATATGGTCTGGCTGCCAGAGAGGTTAAGCCCCTGGGTGACATGGAAGTTCCTGAGCCTTCTGGGAGCTCTGAGAGGTGGCTGAGAATGTCTTGGAGGCAGAGGAGGCCATGTGAAAACAAGGCTGTCTTTTAAGGATTATGGGATAATCTAGGCCCCATGACTGACTCCCCAGGGGAGGTGACGGCCCAGTGAGGGAGGGGCAGGGTGGAAGAGTCCTTCACTCCAGCTTTCTCACCGAGACAACCAGGGTGCCAGCCAGGAAGTTAGGGCCTAGGGACTGCCAGCTCTTAAGGGTACATACACTTTCTAGACAGAAAGCAAGGACCAGAAGTCCAGGCCCTGGCTCAGGGCCAACTAACTCTGCTTCTAAAGGCCTGCAACCCTGCCTTAGTTTCCCCTTTGGGAAACTGATCTGTCACCTGCCAGAGAAAGTATTAGAAAAGGCCTCTGGGACTGTGTCATACAAAAGGTCACTTCAATCAAGTAACAGATACCTCAGTGCAGGCATAGCGACGGCTCTTGATTAACCACATTACGGCACACAGCCCGGAAAATAGACTTCAAAACTGATGGTCTCAGAGGGAGCAGATCCTGGAGCCAGGAGTCCAGATTGGACCTCCCTCCCTCCCTCCCTCCCTCCCTCCCTGAGAGGAGCAGCCAGGCGGCTCCGAGCGTTAAGGAGGCCGTTAGTGGCCAGCGCAGCGCAGTGATACTTACCACAGTTGTCTTCCCTTCTTGGATCTCCACCACTACAGAGATAAAGGGGGAAAATTAGGTCAGCCATTTAATAAGGAACAGGGAGTTTCAAATAACGGCTCAAATTCTACACAGGCAAAGGAGAGGAGCCTGCAGCCTGTACTCTCCCACGGTCCCTGCCTGGGACAGAAAGTGGGCAAGGTTCACCCCCAAGTGCCAAGACTCTATGCCCTTGAGGCTGGCTGTGGGCAAGCCTGGGGTGCTCAGGGTGCAGCATCTCCCTGCGATTAAGGGTCTCCATGCTGGTTTTTGCCCTTTGAAGCTGAGATTCACCCTGATTCTGTCTAGAATTGGCAAACTGAATAGCTGCGGCAGGAAAACTGGTGTAAGTTTGAAACAGTCTTACTTTGTAGCCCAGGCCTCAAAGACTTTAAGCAAAGAGGGGCAAGATCCTATCCTATGTAGCAAAAATAGCTGAGAGCTTTTGGAACAGCAGGCCTGAAGTGACCAGAAGGGCCTCTTACACATGTCCCTTTACAATCTGAATCAGACCAAAGTGGCTTTGATGTTGAAGGGTTTGCAACCTAAAACACAGGACTATCTGTGTTCCAGTGGTGGCTTTTCACGGAGACAAATCCAACCCAAAACGTATCCTGAGAATCCTGTGCCAAGACTGCATGAAACTGGCTACATCCTTTTCATGTCTCCCTGAAGGGTCATGTTCTATTGTCACACCAGAGAAAGGGGTGGAAGAGGTAGCAATCAGGAGCCCGAAGACAGCATCAGCAGGGCTTCAGGGAACACTGCTCTTCTACACTGAAGGCAACGCATGGTCTCTGATGCCTGTGGTGGGCAGGAGAGAAGTGGAGGCAAGAGCATCAGCTGCACACATCTGTCAGGGGACACACATTTCCCATCTCACCTAGGACATGGAATGACAAAGCCAACGGCAATCGGAGCTGCCAGCTTACACACAGCAACTGCTCTTGGAGAGTCTCCCATTTCCTGGCGTGTTTAGAAAGAGCCACAGCTGCCAGCATGGAACTGGTACACAGCAAATGCTCAATAAATGCTATGTTTAAGGGGTGACATAACCACCACTGTCTCCTTCGACGGCTAGCTGCTACAGTAGGGAGCTTGAGCCCATACAGCCTGCAAACCATCTCTTCAGATACTAAAACTCTGCTTACCAAGTAGTTTGGCTACCACAGGTTAGTTTGGCTTAGCTCTGGCTAACACAAGAAGGAATATAGATTAGAAAAGTGCCTAAGGTCCTTGACTTTGAGAATTCAGCAGGAGCTAAAGATCTCTCTCTAGGAGAAACATCTACCTGCAATTACACAATTGACCATGGGCTGCAGGAGGCTCACACCCACTCTAGAGTGTATGTCAGAGACCCGGCTGTGCCTCAGGTGGAAGGTGGTATACATGTTTCTTCTTTTTGCCTGCTCTATTTTCTAAAATAAACATGCATTGCTTCTGCAAAACCATAATATAAATAAGAGAAGAGCCTAAGAAAAAAAGGCAACGCTGACCCAACCGAGCCCATGTCAGCATCTGTGACCAGTGAGCTCTATGACCGACACCTAATTGAACACAGGCTGCCTGGAATCATTCCTCGTTTGTTTTCTGGGCAAACCATTCCTAAAGAATCATTACTCCAAACAACCAAACTGAGAGCCTTCCATGACCAACTCCAGACACATAAGTGAAACAATGGCCAGAGCAGCCCAGAGGCTTTCTCTGGAGAACACTGTAGGTTCCTTGTGTACAAGAAACTGCGTCACCTCACACACGGTTCTACTTGTCCCGAGCAGAGACCAAGCCATGAACGGGATGTGGGTGAGACTCAACCTGGTTATCAGCCTAGAAGCCAGCACAGCTGCAGAGGGAAGGTCACCACGATGTGCACTGCAGAAAGGCCCACACAGGGGTCCAGGGAGAGCAGGAGAGCACATCTCCAGCCCAGGAGACCCCAGCTACCCTAGAAACTTGGTTACGCCGGGCGTTGGTGGCGCACACCTTTAATCCCAGCACTCGGGAGGCAGAGGCAGGTGGATCTCTGTGAGTTCGAGGCCAGCCTGGTCTACAAAGCGAGTTCTAGGACAGCCTCCAAGACAATACAGAGGAACCCTGTCTCGAAAAACCAAAAAAAAAAAAAAAAAAAAAAAAACTTGGTTACTATGCAAAACAAATTAGGGGAGGGCCAGAGGGTGACCAAATGGGAGCAACAACGGATAGGGAGGCATATACTGAGAAGTCTCAGGAAACAAAAGCGGGGACACATTCTGGGACCATGGAGGCAGCACTAGGACAATGAAGGGCAAGGAGCACAAACATGTGGTTTCCTTCTTGGTCCAGGCTCTTGGGCCCTAACCCTGAGGTAAACAAGTCTAACAAAACACACATCACTCTCGGCAAAGACCCAAACCCTGAAGTCATCCCACTGGCCCCTGGAAAAGAGATCAAAGCCCATGGCAAGCTCCACTGTTAAAAAGCTCTCCCACAGCAGCCTCTAGTGAGTGTCTTTCTAGAAGCTAGTGGGTAAAACAATAGGCAGATGCTTATCTATGAGAGACAATCTGTCAAACCAGAGGAATGACCCAAGGAACTCCCAGGAGACAGATTGATCAGGGAGGCGAGTTAGAGCAGGGAAGAAGACTGGCTGGGGCCTGGAGAGCCCTCAGCAGATTTTAAGCCCCTGGAAAGAGGAGATAGGAATCAAAAACAGTATTGATTTTCAGTGTGCATAGAAAAACATGGCAAAGCCAAACAAAACCTGAGATCCATTCGTCCCTGGCCCCGTCTCCATTCAAGAGAAGTGGAGGTGGGTAAGAAAAGCTGGACTAAGGTTCAGGAACCAACAGAAAACTTACTTAGGGATAAAATAAAACCACCCCTGCATTCTGAGATATGTCTGCATGAAGTAAGCCACCAGACTGAAATTGCTTTCTAAAGAGAACTAAAGCTGCACCCTCTCAGGATGGACACACGCACACACATGGCATGATCTGTGTCGTGTGCACGAAGATCAGGAACGAGGTAGCAGCCTCGCTCTACCTCCTGGGCAGAGGAACAGCAGCAGAGTAAGGCAGTCTCTGCCCTTGAGGAGGGCAGTAAAACAAGTACAGGAACTTCCCGTAATGAAGCCCGTGTCTCATAAAGAAGTCCTGTGAGTCCTCCAGTAACTACTCCCAGGATGGAGTCCAAGATAACGGAGTTCTAGCAGCCTGGAGGCAGCAGCAGTGAGTCTGCGCAGGATGCAGAAGCCCTTGACAGGCACACACCCACGGGCAGACAGTGAAGACTCGGCTGTGCGGCAGGAGGCCGTGAGGGAAGATGGATGGGGCAAGGGTGCAGGCCCTGCAGCAGTGGTTGCCAGAGAAGCCCAGGCCTCCAGGGTCTGTGGCATCTGACATCTAGGCAGAGTGTGAGGGGGCTGAAGGCAGCCCTCGGCCAACAGTAGCAGCAGAGCCCTGTGCTTCCCGTCCCTTCCTCTTCTCAGGCAACAGCTCCTTCAGTTCACCCCTCAGCTCCCGGTTTCAGGGTCTCTAATTGCTTCCCGGTTCTCCAATCGCCTTCCTGTTCTCCAATCCCTCAATTCCTGAAGAATGTCCCTCTGTCCTGGGCTTCAGAGTCTCGCTGCTGCTTACCAATTTTCCCCAGGAGCAGGGCACTTAAATCTGACAGACCCCCAACTTGCTCCTCCTCAAGGTTCTTTGCGGCAGAATTGCTAACCATCTCAGACAGCCCCTTAGCTTACCGAAAGAGACAAGTTCCCTTTGGCCTTTCCTCGTTTCAGTACATTCTCCCTTAAGGTCATGCCTGCTAACTCATGTGCTCAAGGCTTCTAGTCATGGGTGCCACTTCCTAAACAAGGGTATTAGGGCAGAAAGTCTTTAACACAACACCTGCTAAATCTGACATTGTCACTGATGGAATCACCAGATGATCTTTGGCAAGTCAACTGCCAAGAGTCTTTCAGAAGAGGAGGGAACCAAAGAGAGGCCCTGCCATGGAGCACCTGGCTTGTGTGACACTTCCTCTGCTTTTAACTCTCCTACTTATAGCTGATGTTAGGTTAGCTATGGAGTCTTTAGAACTGGAGTCCCCCATTCTTCAAAATAAAGACAGATAAAAATCTACCTTTAAGGAAGATGGAGCAGATGTTTTAAGGAAAACCTAGTAAATTACTGGAGAAAGGCACTTAGTAAATCACAATTTCCTCATTTGTCCCCTTCAGGCTTGCTTTTTTTAAAACCCACTCGCTCTCACTTTGGGTTTTTATGTAATACGCACGTACGCACGGCCGTTCTCAAGAGACAGGGCTTTGTAGCTCTGGCTGGTACTCTCAAAGTAGACCATGCTAACCAGAGATCCACCTGCCTCTGCCCATTTCCCAAATGCCAGGGTTAACGGTGTGCACCATGCTTGGCCCTCCTGTCAAACCTTCGGTCAAGCTGTCTCCACACCAGCACTACTGACATTTTAAGCCAGTTGGTTCTCTGTGTGGAGTTGTCATGTGTGTTGTTAGTCATATAATAGTATCCCTATGCACTCTCCAGATGCTGGTAGTACCAGTTGTGACAACCAAAAAGGTTTCTAGACATTGCCAGATGTTCTGGGGGTGGGAGAAAGGGAATGGATGACCGCCTGACTGAGAAACAATACATTAGTCTGAAAGCTTATAGCAACAACACTGTGCTCCGTCCTCATGAAGTCTCTTTTCTTGATTTCAAGCCTCATGAATTCTTGCTACAGTTATGTAGTTTTATCTTTGAAAAGCAAGATGCTTGCATATTTTCTGCAAGAAAATCAGCTTGTTTGCCACACCTTTAAATGTTACGTGTAAAATGATATTTGAGTGACAAGTATACTAACAAGACCAATGAAAATCAGATGTCTATGATACACCAAAAGGCAGAATATCACAAGGTTCATTTAAGGTTTTAGAGATGGGTGATTCAAAAGAATATAAAACACGACAAGGCTTTCACATAAAAGCACATCAATTCAATTTAATATTTAGCCTTGAAACCAGGCTGTCTAAACAGTGTTTAATAGACAGGAGAGTGACCAAGTACTTGTAGACAAGACAACTCTAAACACTGATTGTATAACTCATCATTCCACAAACTTTCCAGTTAAAAAATTTCTTGCTGGCTGTGGCGGTACATGACTATAATACCGGTACTTGGGAGGCAGAGGCAGGGAGACTGCCAGATGTTTGAGGCCAGCTTGGTCTACCTAGAAAGTTAAAGGCAACCCAAGGCTAATTAGCAAAACTTTGTTTAAAACAACAAGTTTCTTAAGTGAAATCTCAATATTTCTGTTTTAAACCAACTAATTATACAAGAAATTATACATATCAAAAAAAGAAAAAAAGGAACTGCACATCATACAAACTACTAATCATACAAGAAACCCCTTTGATCTTTATCTTTTCAACGATAAAAATACATAACTGTAGTTAAAAACAAACAAATAAAAACACAGTAAAGAACTGTGTCCAAGGGCTGGAGAGATGGCTCAGAGGTTAAGAGCACTGGCTGCTCTTCCAGAGGTCCTGAGTTCAGTTCCCAGCAACCACATGGTGGCTAACAACCATCTGTAATGAGATCTGGTGCCCTCTTCTGGCCTGCAGGGACACATGGAGACAGAACATAGCATGCATTAAAAAAAAAAAAAAAGAACTGTGTCTAACGCCTGTGTGGTGGCTCACGCTTCCAAGCTCACACTCGGGAGGCAGAGGCAGGTAGATCTCCAGGAGTTGAAGGGCAGCCTGATCTACACAACAAGTTCCAGGTTAGCCAAGGAAATACAGTGAGATCCTGCCTCAAAAGTCAAAAACAGTTGTTTGTTTGTTCTTTCTTTTTTTATTATTGGTTTTTCAAGGCAGGGTTTCTCTATGTAGTCCTGGCTGTCCTGGAACTCTTTCTGTTGATCAGGCTGGCCTTGAACTCTCCTCCAGAGTGCTGGGATTAAAGGTGTCACCAGGCCCCTATCTGTCACTCTTAATGAAATTACTATCTGAAACTAAGGAGACCTTTTCCAAGTTGTTTATAATGGTTTATGCTTGCTAATTATATCACTGGGGAGGCTGCAGTCTTAGATTTGATTAAGTGGCTCTTTTTTCTTGTCCTGGTCTCTCCAACAATAATGGCTACTCTTTCCAACTGGTTACTTGTCAACTTTGATACTCACTGGTTGGCCAACACTGTGCTAGAATCTTTAAACAAGCCCCTTGTCCCACCATTTCTTTACCAAATCACTCATCCACTAATGCTTCCCACGGAACAAAAAGGAAGACTACATCACGAAAGACCTTTTCACTCTGCCAGATCCATCCCTTGCCGAGCCCGTTCAAGAAGAACATGCTTCATAAAATTTCCAAGTACCTTTGCTATTTCCGGTAGTGAGTCTCCCTGAACTTCATCGTGCAAATGGATAACTTCCGTTTATTGGGGCCAGTGTACAGACATCTCATTAGAACCCAAGCTTCTCCCTTTACAACCCTTCCACACCCATCAGTAACCTCTCAGCTGATGCTAGCATCCGGTTATTTTTCCTGATTTAATATTAATGAAACGCAGAACACTTAGCACTAGCGGCTGTCTTAGTTGTTCAATTGCCTTTGCACCTCGGCTGCCATCTCTCAGATCAGAGGCCCAGACACACACACGGCACACACTCGCACAGACACACACGGCACACACACACACGGCACACACGCAGACTCACACACGGCGCACACACACGCACACACACACGGCACACACTCTCACACACGCACACATTCACACACACGGCACTATCTGACCACACTCGCACAAGAGAAACTGAAAACGGAGGGTTGAGGCATGCTTTCATCAAGGAGGCGGCGACCTGGGAAACACGGGAGAATTAGCATTCAGCCCTTCACAGCTTTTCTGAACTCTCCTGTCTTTTCTTCTGACCCCCAAACGGCCAGGCCTTTCTCTCAGTCCTCCTTGGCTTTCGGGAGACGTAAGAGCCGGGAGGTGAAGCCACAGGGCCTGACAGGGTTTTGGGCGTTCGGTGCGGACCGCACCTCGGCTCGCGCCGGGGGAGGGCGCCCCGGGGCTGCGGGCGTCCGTGACCGCGTTCCGGTCCCGCCACTCACCTTCTCTCAAGCCGCGGGCTGGAAGCCACGACCATCCGGTCGCGGCGGGGCCTGACAGGAACCCTTGCAGCTGGCGCCCGCAGCCTGACACCAGAGCCCTGAAGGACGCCATCCTGGGAACTCGCCTGACCTCGCCTGCACTTCCGCTTCCGGAGCGGGGCGTGCGCAGCCGCCCAGCAGCGAGCGGGTTTCTCGTGGTTACTTGCGTCGCTTGTGTTTCTGTCCCCAGTCGGGATCTGGTCTAAAGAGACGAGCCTGTGTTTTGCCCTAAGTGTCTAGGAGATCCTCCGGCAGCTGCTGCCTGTTCGCCTCCCTTGGTAATCACACAGCACACCACTTCTGGAGTTTCCCTTCCCGCTTGCCAGCCGCCGTTTTCAGCTTCTGTGGTTGAGGCTGGGTCAGTCAGGACAGATTGAAATGAATGGACTCCGGCTCCTGCAGCGTCAGACCGGAACAGAATTGACCTACCCTCCTCCTGCCCATCTTTGTTGCTCACATACACTTCCTGTCCCGCACTCGATACCCTCCGTCCTCTGCCTAGTCTTTGGCTGCCTGATAAACGATTTACTAGAGCTTACTTCAAACTTCATTCACTGAGGAGATGACCGTGACCTCCCCTATGCTGGGTCTCTGCAGCATTGGGCTTAGTGCTCCACACAGTTGATGTCTCCCGCACCGAACTGTAAACCCCATTAAGACAGAAACATTGTTGTCAGGTGTGGTGTTGCAGCCTTTAACCCCAGCACTAGGGAGACTGAAGTAGGTGGATTTCAGTGAGTTCAGGGCCACTCTGGTCTACACTGGGAGTTCCAGGTCCCTCCCCCACTCTTTATCCAATATAAGCCTAAAAGGAGTTGGTGTCCCTCGTTATCTACACTGGTTCTCTGGAGAGAAGTCTAGGTCTCCTGAATGATGCAGTGAGCTCTGGTGACGGGAGAGGAAGGCTGTTGTTTAGTTGGTAGTGGTACCTGCTGGGCTGGGTGGGTGCAAACAAAGCTGCTTGAGGAGCTCTGCAGCATCACTGCAGACAGGAAGAACAGGAGAGAAACCATTGAGCAAAGGCAGATACAGGGAGAAACCTGGAAGATCAGTTAAGGTGGGATTGATTGACAGACACATGGATGAGAAGCAGGTTTCTGTGGGGTGCGCCTCTAGTGTTCCAGCCAAGATCAGGATAGCACTGACTCGCTCTAGCTTCCACTTTTCTCCGGCACTGATGAGCCACACGTCCTGTTTTTACCACATTCCTCCTTCTCTGATTCACGTCCAACTTCTGGGGACTGAGCCGAGGCCAGGGTAGTAACAGAGCCCCTCATGACACGTGTGGGCATAGTGAACTAAAGCTTCTAGGTGCCAGCACTCCAAGGTTATGTTTCCTAACTTACTGGAATCAACATAAATTTGGGGTGCTGCAGAGACAGATCAGTGGTTAAGAGCCCTGGTTACCCCTTTACAGGACCAGGGTTAGGCTATCAGCACCCACGTGGCGGCTTACAAGCTCCTGTGACTCCAGTTCCAGGGGATCTGATGATCTCTTCTTGTCTCCTCGGGCACCAGGCATAAATGCGGTGCACATTCATGCGTGCAGCCATATACATAAAATAAGAACAACCCCTTTCTGTTCTGCTCAGGTAGGAGACCAGATGTGTCATTCTTAATTCCTGTTGTAGCTTAAAGGGAAACTTCTCCCCATGTCTAGAGCCCTTGATACCCTCCCAGCGGAGGAGGAGAGTGTCCTCAAATTCATCGCAGCAGGGATTGGCTTAGGAGGCTCCAGCTTTGACTTGGGATGGAACAGTACACCCACAAAAGGAAAAATGGCAGAATTTGTATCGTAAATCTGAATAGGACCTGGGAAAAGCTGATGCTGGCACCTCCGGTCGTTGTAGCTTATGCCAGCATCATGTTCTCCGGGAACACTGGCCAGCGAGCTGCGCTGCCATTTGCTGCTGAGCCTGGAGCCGCTGCTGGCTGCTTCACTCCAGGGACCTTTACTAACTGGATCCAAGCAGCCTCAGGGAGGTGGCTGATCCGAGACTGACCACCAGTCCCTGACAGCAGAGTCTCCTGTCAACCTGTTTACTGTCACTGTCTAACATGGGTTCTCCTCCACATCATGAGGGCGTTGTGATTGTGAGATTAGTAAAAGGCAGCTGTAGAGAGACAGAAGGGAGAACGGCTTGCTCTGACCATAGGTGGACCATGTTCATTCCTGGTGAGGGAGCATCTTGTCATCCATGTGCAGAGAGGAAGATGGACTGCAGCCCCTTATAGGGTCAGGAACCACTTCCGCAGTCCTAAAGGGAACCGTTCAGCAGGAAGCTGTCACTCCTGATGCTGAGAGGATTAAAAAAATGCAGGGCAGGGGCATGGCAGCTGATTTGTTAGAGGGGCTCATGCGTCCATTGAAGAGGGGGTCTCCTAGTCATGTAGGAGGGGGAGAGTCTTAAGTTGATCGGCTTTAAGGGTGAATCGGGTGATTGTCCTCTTATATTGCTGGAGAGATTTGGAAGATGATTGCTAGAGGGCTGTAAGCAGCTGATTTGGTTACAGAGTAAGACTGAGCGATTTCCCAGGAAAGTTGAGGGGTGGGGAGGGACAGGGGTGAGAGGAAATGGGCATAGAGGTGATCCAGGGTGACGGTGACTATTCCCATTGCCGGGCGTGCTGGACCATGAGCCAGCAGAAGTAGCAGGAGGCCACAGAGCATCAAAGGAGGGAACCAGAGAAAATAGAGGACTAACGTAAAGGATTGTGTCTAGCTCAGGGTGAAAGGGATGACGTCCCCTTTAGTCTGTTTCTCCGCATCGTCTAAAAGGTCTTTTTGCAGACATACCGGGAACACCTGTGGAGTTGTTGTGGGGCGAGAGCATTGGGAGAGCTGGCGTGGGACATTTTATTTGTGCAGACAGGGAAGTTCTGTAAGTAAACATTTAAAAGACGGTGTAAAAATGTAAGTATGAGGGTGATAAGGAGGAAGGAGGTCAGTACGGCAGCAGTCACGGATGGAGCTGGTCCTGAAGGAGGTGAAGCTCATCTGCACTGGCGAGACAGAGGTGAATTGACGCAAAGGAGGCTTCAGTCCAGATGTTTCAGTTCTGAGTCCCCCAACAGTGTTCAGAGTGGCAAGAAGAGGGATGAGTTAGATGGCCCATGGCTCCTTGGTCCCCTTTCAGAGGTCACCCGAATGCTTTTCGGGGCTTGGGGCCGTCGCCCTCTCGGGAATTGTTTTGAGGTTGACAGAAGGGTGATGAGGACAGCAGCAGTTGGTGTGCCTCAGAGGAGGTTCCATCCAAGGGACCACGAGGAACCTAACAGTTGGCAAAGATCCAGAATGCACATCAGGAGGTAAAAACTGCACAACTTAGCGGGGACATTAAGGGACAAAGAGGAAACTTTCACATCGACAGCAACATGTAACTGGACGACTGGCAGGACCATGTTCTGTAGAAGGACAAGGCGACTGTAATTAGATGTCTGTTAGGTCAGACTCCTAAATAAGGAACAAGCTCCCAGAAGCTTTGTAAAGAAGTCAGTTAAAGTTAGCACCTAAGGAACAGATCTGACAGAGCGTGTCTAAGTGGTAGTCCTTGCTTTTACATATCATAAACTTTGTATGTTTGTTTCAACTATTAATATCACAAACAGAGTATCTCAAGTAAAAACTAAATCTTTGGTTAGGAACAATTTACTAAGGTAAAATGCTTAAATATGATGACTATTTCCTCAAGTGACCATATCTAGTATTTGAAAGCATAGCAATATATATTTTTGCTAAAATCAAGTTATAATGCCTATATTCCAAGATTATATGTAAATTTACTTTATATTGTCAGGCTGTGTAAAGAGACAATTCTCTTCTAAGTTGTATTCCCCAGAAAAAAACTATTTTCAATTTAAAAAGTATACTCCCAAAGACAGTGACTCTCTTGATATCTCCTCAGTAGGCTTGTCTCTAGAACACTCTTAAGATATCCTGAGTCAGTGACTGCCTTGATTTCTCCTCAGTAGGCATGTGTGGTGATAAATTATTTATGATTTATTCACGTTCAGGCAATTAGTCTCCAGCCATGTTAAGGTCAGGATGGCTTCAGTCTGAGTCGAGGTTAGAGCTACTGGCTTGGCTGCTTTGCTTCTCTGATCTCTCAGCTTGAACCCCAATATCAGTTGCTGGGTTTTTATTATTCATGTTACAAATTGGTGCCCAACATAAAGGTATGAATGAATTCACACAAAAGCCACTTGAATTCACTGGCCCAGGCCCAGGTCTGACTGCAGGCATGGGTCCCACTGGAGTCCCTGCCTGGCCAACTCGGCTTTCTTTTCTTTTCTCCCCAAGCCCTTGAGTGAGTTTGGTATTTTCCTTTGCAGCAAAAGCTGCAGGCATTTGGGCTCCAAACCCCACAGGAGTTACCTCTTTGGTGCGTTCCCCTGTGCAGGCAGCTGGCTGTTTTGCTTCTTTTCTCCCAGTGGGTTGTGGGCTTTCCCTAGACCCCCCCTTGAGCCCCCTGTCAGGCTGCTGTCAAACTGGGAAACTGCCTTTAACCCTGCTTAGGCTTTTACTGTTATAAACTGCAGCAGTCAGCTTCACCCTTCACCGTCATCTGAATGTCATCTATCAGCAGCAGATTTGGTAAGACTACCGGGAATTTTCTTTCTTTTATTTAATTTTGTGTTTGTTTTTTTTTTTTTTTTTTGAGACAGGGTTTCTCTGTGTAGCCTTGGAGCTTGTCCTGGAACTCACTCTGTAGACCACTCTGTCTTTAAACTCACAGAGATCTGCCCACCTCTGCCTCCCGAGTGCTGGGATTAAAGGCGTGCCACCACTACTAGACTCTTGGGAATTCTTACCGGAAGGAATAAGTTAAAAAAGAGAGGGGTTTTTTCCCACATTAAAAATGGGAAACACAGGACTGGAAAGATGGTTCAGCTGTTAAAAGTTAGGCTCACAACCAAAAATGGGAAACACAATTACAATGGAGAATGTTAGGTCTCTATATGACTGTGAAATCAATGATGGAACAATGAATTTAACTGGGATTGACACACTGTTAATTGTAATTTTGATAATTCTTGGTTTATCTCTAAAAAAGTTGGTTGGTGTGAGTGTCAAGATTAAGGCCTTAGAAAAACATGTTTAACCAAATCATAG